GGTTGTTGGATATAAGGTCAACATACATAAATTAGTTATATTTTTATATACTGGCAACATAAAGTAAGAAAGTAATAAAAGATACCACACTGTGGTATCTTTTGTTTTTGTGTCCCCCAAAGTTCATATGCTTGAAGCTTAATTCCCATTGTAACTGTTGAGGGTGGGAAATCCTATTATGGTAATTGACAGGTGGGGCCTTGAAGAGGTGATTACATTGTAGGACTATACCTTAGTGAATGGATGAATAATGGTGGCCAGGGGTATGGTTCTGAAGACTTTAAAAGGAGAACACATGAAAGTCTCTCTCCCTCTCTGCTCCACCATTTTCTGCCATGTGAGACCTCTGCATTGCTGTAAAGCCACCACCAAAGAAGACTCTAACCAGATGTGTTCCTTGGCCTCTGGACTTCCTGGCCTCTGAAACTGTAAGCAATAAATTTCGTTTTCTTACAAAGTACCCAGTTCCATGTATTCTGTTATAAGCAACAGAAATGGATTAATACATTCCATTTACAGTACCATCAAAAAATATCAATGCCTAGGAATAAATCTAGCAAAAGATGTACAAGACTCCTTCCTACAGAGAAAACTATGAAACATTCAGGAGAGAAATTAAAGAGCTAAATAAGTGGAAAGAGACACCTATGGTTTAGAAAATTCAATATTGTAAAACTTTCAATTCTACCCAAATTGACTTATAAATTCAATGCAATCTCAATTAATACTCAAAAGAGAATATTGTGAAAATTGAAAAGTTGATTCTACAATACAGATGGAAATGCAAAGAGAATAGCCAAGACATTTGTGCAAAAAAAGAATAAGGGGGAGGGCTTGTTCACCAGATCTCAATATGTACTATAAGGTTACAGTAATTTACATAATATGGTAGTGCTGTTCCACTGGAAGGCAATGTTAATGCAATAAGGCAAATAAAAGAAATAAAAAGTATAAATGCTGGAAAATAAGAAAAAACATATATAAATATTTAATAAACAAAATTAACCAATGGAAGGAAATTCAGAATCCAGAAATATACCCATGTATATATGAGTGCTTGAATCATGATTGAAGGGGCATTTCAGAGTGGAAGGTAAGGGTGGGGGGGATTTTGGAAGAAGGATAATCTTTTTTGTAAGTGTTTCTGGGTCAACTGGATATCTTCATAGAAAAGAATAAAACATCATTCACAAAAATCAATTCCAGGTAAACTGTAGATTTAAAAGTAAATGCCCAAACAATAAATTTCTAGAAAAGAACAAAGATAATATCTTATAACTTTAGGACAGGAAAAGATTTTTTAATCACAACACAAAAAGTACTAACCATAATAGAAAAAAAACTAATAAACTGGACTGTATTAAAATTAAGAAGTTCTATTCATCAAAAAGAGATCATTAAGAGAGTAAATACACAAGCCACAGAGAGATGTTTCCAGTGTATCCAAATATAACTGACAATGGGTTTATATCTAGAATATACAAAGAATATCTATCAATTAAAAGGCAGAACAAACCTATAGAAAAATGCTAAGAAGACTTGAATGGGCACTTCACTAAAAGTATCCCAAAGTGGTCAATAAACAGAAAAATTGCTCAACCTCATTAGGCATCAGGAAAATACAAATTAAAATTACAATAAAATTAAAGAGTTAAAATTAAATATCAAATGTTGATAGAATATGGAATAAATCAAACTCTCATACACTGCTGGTGGGTGTGTAAATTCGCATAACTTTAAAATTAAATATAAACATAATTATTGGGAATATACTCAATAAAAATGTGAGCACTTGAGCATCAAGGGCCATGATAAAAAATGTTGATAACAGCATTATTCCCAATGTCCTCCAAAGTGGAAACAACCCAAATATCCCTCAAAAGAATGGTTAAATGTGATAAATTTAAAAAACTAGAATACAGTAATGAAAATGAAAATTTTATCTATGTGTAACAATATGGATAAATCTCAAAAACATAATGTTGAATGAAAGAAGCCAAACACAGAAGGATACACAGTTTATTATCCCATTTATGTAAATTAAAACACAGGCAAAACTATGGTGTAACATTAGATACTGATTACTTTGCATTACCTTTGAGAAAGAGGGAGGAATTATTATTACAAAGGGGCTTTTGGGGTTATAGCAATGTTCTATTTCGTCTTCTTTTTTTTTTTTTGTCCTTTTTGAGACCGGCCGCACCGCGCTCAGCCAGTGAGTGCTGTGAGCGTACCAGTCATCCCTATATAGGATCCGAACCCGCGGCGGGAGCGCTGCTGCGCTCCCAGCGCTGCACTCTCCCGAGTGCGCCATGGGCTCAGCCCCAATGTTCTATTTCTTGACCTGAGTTGTGGTCACATGAATTTTGCACATTTTAGTAATTTGGTTGGCTTTACATTTATGTTTTCTCTACTTTCATGTAGGTGTTATACACAGACAAATATACATACATATGCAAACACATTAACTACATTTATACATCTAAATAAAAAAATACATATAACGTACACACACATAGTGTATATATTCTATGTTGGGAACTTCAGATAATGGTTTCTTCCTATGCATAATTTAGTGGAGAAATATGACATATATGTGATTCTGATAAAGGAACAATTAATTATAGAATATTAATA